TAATACTGTGTTCATCCATAGCAACCCTGACCTACAATGCTGATAATACTGTGTTCACCCATAGCAACCCTGTGATCAACAATACTGATAATATCATGTTCATTCCTAACAACCTAGATCAGCTATACTGATAATACTAACTACATTAAAGTCTTGGTTACAAGTCTGTGTTAATTCTGATGAGGAGCAATTATGAAAAACAAAATATTTAAACAAATTTCCATGCTTGTTGGTCTTATTAGTATTGGGATTCAAGCCACTGTACACAGACCAGGCACTATAAAGCAGGCTGACCACCCACCTAAAATGCTTCTCCTAAGGGGAAGGATAACCGTGGGCCGTCCCAGCATGTGCCAGCTGGTCTTGAGAAAAGAGATCTCCGTCTTGAAGATGTCAATCAATAGGTGGGTGTCTGATGCTAGATAGAATCTCTGTTCATCTACATACTTCAGAGAAAGAGATTAGATAGTTTTAATATTACCTAATACTTTCTCGAGGAACTGTAGAATGACCCACTTTCACATCCCTTGAACTTTTCTTAATTTGTCAAAGTAAGGAAATTGTTCATCTCTGCCATATCCATAGTAATAAAGTCACTCGCATTTTGTTAAACCTTTTGTAAAACATTAGCCAGAGATTCACAGTTTTTTTAAACTAAAACTTATAGTAAAAATAGTTTTTATATTTATTGGTTCAATGGTGTGGATTCAATAACTCATCATCAATATATATATATATATAAAAATTAGATTTACCATTACAACGCAAACTTAAATTATTTGGCAATGTATTATTACTCTTAATAAAAATGTGGAAAATAATTTAAGATGACATTTCCGAGTTATTTTCCTTTGCCATAAAACTTATCACAATAAAACAAAAACCATCCTTTGTTTGATAGCTTTATTGCCATAAAATTGATAAACACAACCTCTACACAGAACAGCTTTATCATAATTACACTAGAAAGGTGATCGTATAAACACAACATTCGATTTTTTGTTTCTTTATTGTTTAGTGCAAAT